AAGGGTAACTGATGGCATTTTTGTGGGTACTTTTTCTTAATCTTTTACAGTAATAGTCCTACGCAGCTGATAGCATTTTTGATCCACTGGAAGTGCCAGTCTTAAAGCAGTTTCCTATTGTTTGGGCTCTTGGTCTTGATTGCTGTGACCAAAACATTGATGTAATTTTAGAACCACATGGACCTAGGAAGGGGGGGTGGGTGGGGCGGGAGTGGTGCACTTGGAGTCATCCAATTTCCGAGAAAGCAGAAGTGGAAGATGGGCCAGGTCAGTCTTGCCTCAATTGGAATGGAAAACAATTGCTCCCTGTTGGATAACTTGGGGTAGTCGTTCCTATCTCTGGTCTCAGTTTTATTCCCTGGACAATGGCTAAAAAGGTCTTCCATCCTCTGGGGGTTGTAGCTGCTGGTGTCGCTGTTCTAGATTATAACCGTTTGCTGTTGTTGTGAGCTGCCATCGAGTTGGAATCTGACTCACGGTGACACCATGCACAATGGGAACGGATAATTGTGATTTACAGGGTTTTCATTGGCTCATTTTATGAAGTAGCTTGCCAGGCTTCTTGTCCTAGTCTGTCTTAGTCCGGAAGGCTCCAATGAAACTTGTTTGACATCATAGCAACATGCATGAGGTGCACTGGCCAGGACTGAACCTGGGTCTCCCACATGGCAGGCAAGGATTCTACAATGGAACCACCTCTGCCTGACAATGCAGTGTGGACCCAGGCCAGGGAGGCTAAGAGGGGCTATGGCTTGACACTAGGTATATTCCCATTCCAATCCCAGGGCTCTAACCCTTGCACCCTCATGGGAAATGAGACTCATGACCATGTGATGTCAACTAGTCAAGGTGGGCATCATCCTCAGGCTTTTCTAAGACAAATAAGTCGTGAAACTTGGGTCATTATCATAACTCGTGACCTCTTTGCAGCTTCCTCTGCCTGAATGTCCTTCTACCCTGGAAGGCATATTGGCTGTTTTGACACCCAGAGGCCATTTCCCCTTGTTGGATAGCAGTTCCCTGACTTCCTCTGTGGTACCCCGCCCCTCTGAGTCTACAGGCATCAAAGTGATGCTGATTCTACTTTTAGTTCCTGGGCGTGGCCAGACCAATGTAACCCAAGATGGGCCAAGGATGCGCTCCTTGAACTGCTGGGTCTCTCTTCCCCTGAGCTCTCTGATCTGTTGAGCATAGCCTGAGCTCTGACCAGTTCTACAGCAGGACATCCTGCCTGAACAGTGAGAAAGCCAAGCCACGAAAAAAGACACCATGGCCCCCAGAACCAGCTGCACCTAAAGTCAAATACCCTTACACACCTCAGTTCTGTTGAGTGAATCTATGTTCTTTTCTAATAATCCATGTTGACTTGGGTTTCTGTCATCTGCAACTAAAGCTGTTCTGACTAAAACAAGATCTCATAGCCAATAAGTGGCAGAATTTGGATCAAAGCCCAGTCTGTCTGACTCTAAAGCCCAGGATCTTAACCACTATATTAAACTGGCATAATCGCATCTTCTAATCTGCATGCCAATTCCTAGCAGCCACTATGCTCATCAAATATAATCCCACCAGCTGACGTTTGCTCAGTGCTTTTGATAAACCAGAACCTACTTGCATATACATCACCACTAACGATTCACATACCATAAATTCACCTTTTTAAAGTGAACAATTCATTTAAAATCTGTCTGAACAACATCTGACTGCATATATGTCTGGGGACCCATATACTTTCTTGTTTGGTCAACTTTTCTTTGCTATTTCCTCCCAATGGATTTAAGAATCCTGGACAAGCACTGGACTGCTAACCAAAAAGTTGATGGTTTAAATCTACCAGCATTCCTCAGGAACCCTATACAGGGTTTGCTATGAGTTGGCTTGATGGTAATTAACAGCAACAACAGTGGTTTTAAAGACTTCAAACCTAGACTCTGGCATACTTGGACCATAGGCAAGTGAGGCAGAGGACAAGACTCTGGATACAGGCTCCTGGGCTCTGTCCAGTAGCCAGGTGCTAGGCTGCTACCCCAGTGTGCAGAACAGTGGGTGAGGTAGGACCCTGCTGTCTCCAGGCTTGCTTCCTCATGCTCTGCTCCTTTCCTCAGGCCTCTGTCAGCAGCTCCAGCAGTAGCAGCACTAGCAAAGAGGACAACTGGACGCAAGCTCCCATAAGATTTGAATATGGTATTTGTACAATATGGTATCTAAATCACATAACATCCTATTTCATAGTACACACTGTGAATATTAGCAAGTGCATACCTGTATTCATGTGTTTGTGCAACCATCACTACTCTTTAGTCCCAGAACATTTTATCATCCCTCAAAAAAACTTTAACAGTTTATTTTCTCTAAAAATGATGTGGCTGTCTCTTTCCATAAAGATTAGTCCTGGAAAACATTAGTTGTTGTTGTTGTTGTTAAGCGCCACTGCGTTGGTTCTGACCCATAGTGTCCCTGTAAAGAGTTTCCGAGGAGTGGCTGGTGAGCTTGAACTGCTGACCTTGTGGTTACAACTGACTTTGCAGTCCAGTGCATTAACCCACAGTGCCACACCAGGTCTACAGGAATCCCTATAGGGCAGTTCAATTCTGTCCTACAGGATCACAACGAGTTGGCATTGACTTGATGCAACTGGTTTGATTCTGATTTTTGGTGCAACCATCACCACAATGTACTTTTAGAGAATTTTCATAACTCCGAAAATAAACTCTGTCCCCATTATGCAGTCAATCCCATTCCCCTTTCCCCCAATCCCCTAGCAACCGCCAATCCTGCTTTTTGTCTTCCGGATGTACCTCCCTTAGGCATACATCATCACTTCTAACTCCACAGGAACCTTGTGAAGTAGCCAGTGGAGAAGAGCACTAGTCAGCAGAGTGGCTAACAGCTGTACTCTGGTGTCCTCCTGCCCCAGTTCAAATCCCAGTTGACATTTACTAAGCTGTTTACACATGGGCAAACAACTTAACCTCTCAGAGCCCAGGCTCTTTCACAGTATAAGGTGAGATGCTTCATGTAAGGATTGCAAGAAGCCCAGCTATTTCTATCATCGTGAACTCATGTTACAATGTGCACATTCAGGTGCGGAGAGGCTAAGGAACGTGCTGAGCCACACAGCTGACAGTGGCTCAGTCCCAGGTCTCCTGACTGAGTTCTCTGCTTTTCTCATCACGCTACATTGGCTCAACTGCTCCTCTGTGAAGTCTCCCCTCCCGCCCCATACTCTTGGAGCCAAGTTACTTCTGGAAAAAAAACAAAGACTACTTGCCAGGCAGGAGGGTGGGAGGCTGGAATCATGAAATCATCTCACTTTGGGCGTCGCAGCCACATGTGGCTGGCTTCCCTGCCCCATCTTCAGGAACAGCTGACTACAGCTGGTGTGGCCCTACTCTGACCTCTTCCAGCTCTCCACTCTAGGGTGTGGGGACAAGGCTGACTCCAGGATGGGCAAGACCTTTGGAATTTCAAGACCTTCCCACTCCAGCCCCCCATCTGGGACTATTTAAAGTTGGCGAAGCCCCGCCTCCAAACGACTCTGCTAAGAGAGGGAAGTCTGTTGCTACAGCAAACCCTGAAATTATTACTAATGATTCTGAGCAGGCAAGCAAGACTGCCTCTTAAGTTCTGGTTGAAATAAAAATGTTGAGTCAGAACAGGAGACTGGAGAGAGTTGACAAACTGTGGGCCAAGGAGATCAGTGATCAAACCCAAGTTCCAGCATTCTCAAACGATGTCAGCCTGGGCAAGCCCCCTCTGTGCAAAGGAACAGCCAATCATGGCCAATATTCATGGAGTGCCCGGGCTTTGGGGAGGCAGATCTTGTGGAATGGTCACACCGAATGTAAGATGAAAGCATTTTCATTCCTCCGGTGCAGTTGAGGACACTGGACCACAGAAACGTTAAGTTGTTTGGCTGAAGGTGACACCAAGCTGAGTTATGAAAAGGTAAAGCTGAGATGTGAATCCCTTAACCCAGGGTAACAACATTTGGGAACGTTGGAGGCAGGGTTTGATCGCAGAGTTGAAGGTCTTCAGGCCCAGGCTCTGTCAGAATAGCGACTCTGGGTACCACACACACGTTAAGTATCTTGGCACACTTGGGCCCATGCATGGTGTTGTAGAGTGGCAGTGAGGATCAACAGTCACACGAAGGCTTCCACAGACTATTCCCACTTCTCAGTCATCCCACTCCTCCAGACACTGCCGCAACAAGGACCTTCCACTCCCTGAATGAGGTATATATGTGTGTCTGTATGTGTGATGGGGTCATCAGATTCTCCCTCCTGGAGATTGGAACCATCGCTCAAGGACTCCAGTGCACTGACAACAGTGAAGGACACATGGTCTTGGGGACCGAGATGCTGTTTGGGGAGGCCTTTAAAGGACTGCAGGTCAGTGGGTAAGTGTAGGATGCTAGTCTGCAAAGGCAGGTGAGAAAGCAGTGCAGGCTCACAGCCACAGTGACAGACGCCAGGGAGCTGCCAGTTCTGGGCCCATACATCTCCCCCAACCTTCTTGTGGTACCAAAGCTAAGTAAGTGGACATTTGTTCTGTGGATATAAATGATCCCAAGGGTAACAATCAGACTTACAGCTGTTCCCTACCTGCTCTGCTCTTTCTTGGAGGTGTGTCTCTCCATATAGTCTATAAATGGAGTTCACCAGCAAATGCCATATTGTTCAGAGCACAAATTCAAAACTTGCATTCCAAAGCTACACAGAAATGATTTCCAGATCACCCTCCATTCTGAAACAGCCAGCTGATACATGTTCTTTTATATGGATGATAACTGAATATCAAAGTATAAAGCCATAAAACAATAAAGCACATGCTATGTCTCCAGAGTAATGGGCATCCTTTTTAAGTCAGGAACAATATAAAGAACATTGTGTGACCACGATGGGTGAGAACCCAGGCTCTAAAGTTCTAGGGGAAAAGAAAGCCAATGAAACCACTTCCCACACCGCCACTCACCAGACTTTGCCCCCTGTTCTTACCTGGAGGTCAAAGAACTTGCTGTAGCGCCGGTAAATGGCCTCAGTGGAGCCACTGGACCATGTGACTCGGATGATGTAGACCTGTAGGAGGGATGGAAAAGACATGCATTAACAACAAGCAAGGTCTTTCTGAGGCAGAGCACCAGATCAGAGTCACAAAGACCTGGGTTGGAACCTCAGCTATGCCACTGTCCATCTGTATGGCTTTGGACAAGCTATTTACTTTCACTGGGAATATGGTATATGAAGTGAGGCAGAAGGGAGTTCTCTGAAGTTGAAGTGTACCGTGAAGGGCATGGAGGAGTTAAGATGGCAGGAGAGGAAAGGAAAGACTACGGGTGGAGCAGGAATGATGGTGGAGCCAAGAGCAATGAGCCTGGCTATGATTTCTAACACCACTCATCTGTCAGTTTGTCGCACTGTGGTGGCTTGTGCGTTGCTGCGATGCTGGAAGCTATGGCACCGGTATTTTAAATGCTGACAGGGTTACCCATGGTGGACAGGTTTCAACTGAGCATCAAGATTAAAACACACTAGGAAGAAGGAGAGGTGGATTACTTCTGAATGTTTACTCAAAGAAAACCTTATGAACAGCAAAGGAACACTGTCAGATAACACCAGAATACTGAATACTGAAACATGATGAAGAACACCAGAATACTGACAGATACAGAGCCAGAAGATGAGCTCCTCGGTTTGGAAGGCACTCAAAATACAATTGGGAAGAGCTACCTCTTCAAAGTGAAGTTGACCATGTAGTAAAGCTTTTGGGACCTTCATTTGCTGATGGGGCACAACTCAAAATGAGGAGACTCAGCTGTAAACATCCATTAATAATCAGAACATGGAATGTTCAAAGTATGAATCGAGGCAAGTTGGAAGTTGTCAAAGAAATGGAACACATAAGCATCAATATCCTAGGCATTACTGTGCTCTGGTAGCATTGTGGTTTCGAGTTGTGCTGTTAACCTTAAACTACCAGCTGTTCCTCACAGAAGAAAGATGAGGCTTTCTGCTACTGTAAAGATTTCCAGTCTCAGAAACCCTATACAGGGTCACTATGAGTCAGAATTGACTCCACGGCACATAACCAATCAACCAAGTGAGCTGAAATAGATTAATTGGTATTGGCCATTTTGGATCTGAAAATCACAGGGTTTACTATGCTGGCAATGACAAATTGAAGAGGAATGGCATAGCATTCAAGATCAAAAAGAACATTTCAAGATCTATCTTAAAATATAATGCTTGTTGTTAGGTGCTGTTGAGTTGGTACCGATTTATGGGGACCTTAGGCACAACAGACTGAAATACTGCCTGGTACTGTGCCAATTTCACAATCATTGCTATGCTTGAACCCATTGCTCCTGCCACTGTGATAGGATTCTTACGCCTATAATGAGTCCTGGTGTGGCACCATAGGATAAACACTGGACCTCAAAGTTGGTTTGAACCTCAGGGTCAGAAGTTCAAACTCACCAGCAGTTCCTCAGAAAACCATACAGCGTAGCTATGAGTCGGAATCAACTTGACGGCACTTAACAAAAACAACAGCATAAGGAAGACCCGTTAATACCATTATTATTCAAATGTAAGCACCAAGCTCTACATTGATGATGACATTGAAGACTTCTACCATCTTCTTTAAGGAGCTCTGGTAGTGTAGTGGTTACGAATTGGGCTGTGAACCGCAAGGTCAGCAGTTCAAAACTACCAGCTACTTCATGGGAGAAAGATGAGGCTTTCTGCTCCCATAAAGCTGTGGGTCGGAACTGACTCAATGGCACTTAACAACAACAACAAAACCATCTTCTTTAGTCTGAAATGGATCAAACATGCAATCAAGATATATTGATAATTACTGGTGATAAGGATGCAAAGGTTGGAAACAAAGAAGAAGGATCAATAGTTGGAAAATATGGCCTTAGTAATAGAAATTATGCTGGAGATCACATGGTAGAACTTTGTGAGACCAATGACATTCATTGCAAATACCACTTTTTTTTTTTTTTCCTGATGTGGTAAATATCTTTTTTAAACAACATAAAAGACTCTACACACTTAAGGAATATACAGAAATCAAACTGACTACATCTGTTGAAAGAGATGGTGGAAAAGCTCCATATCATCAGCCAATACAAGGTCAGGAGCCGAGTGTGAAACAAACCACCAATTCCTCATATGCGAGTTCAGGCTGAAACTGCAGAAAATTAAAACAAGTCCATGAGAGTCAAAATATGACCTCGAACATATCCCACCTGAATTTAGAAATCATCTCAATAGCAGATTTGATGCATTAGACACTAATGACCAAAGACCAGAAGAGTTGTGGGATGACATTAAGAATATCATACAAGAAAAAAGCAAAAGGTCATTAATAATATAAGAAAAATACCAAAATGGGTGTCAGAAAAGGCTCTGAAACTTGCTTTCCAGCATAGAGATACTAAAGCAAATAGAAGATTGAGGAAGTCAAAGAGCTGAACTGAAAATTTTAAAGGTCAGCTCAAGAAGACAAAGTCAAGTATTATAATGAAATGTGGACAGACCTAAAGTTAGAAAACCAAAATAGAAGAATACGTTCAACATTTCTCAAGCTGAAAGAACTCAGGAAAAAATTCAAGGCTCGATTTGCAATCCTGAAGAATTCTATGGGCAAAATATTGAAAGATGCAGAAAGCATGAAAAGAAAATAGATTGCATACACAGAGTCACTGAAACAAAAAGAAATGGCTAATGCTCAACCATTTCAAAAGGTAACATGATGAAGAGCCAATGGTACTGAAGGAAGAAGTCCAAAGTACACTGAAGGCACTGGCAAAGAACAAGGAAGGCTCAAGGAAGTGATGGAATACAAACTGAAATCTTCAACAAACTGAGGCAGCACTGGAGGCACTCATTCATCTATAACAAGAAATTTAGAAGACAGCTACTTGACCTACAAATTGAAAGCGATCCATATCTGTGCTCATTTCAAAGAGAGGTGACCCAACAGAATAAGGAAATCACCAGACTATGTTATTAATATTATATGCAAGTAAAATTTTGCTAAAGATAATTCAAAACCGGCTGCAATAGTACATCGACAGGGACTTTCCAAAGGTTCAAGTCAAATTCAGATGAAGATGTGGAACAAGGGATATCACTGCTGATATCAAATGGATCTTAGCTAAAAGCAGAGAATACCAGAAAGATGTTTACTTGTACTTTATTGACTACACAAAGTACAAATGTGTGGCTCATGATAAGATATGGACAACATTGTGGAGAATTAGTTTTCCGAAACACTTAATTGTGCTCATCAGGAACCTGTACATAGACAAAGAGGTAGTCATTTAAACAGAACAAGGGGACACTGAATGGTTTTAAATCAGGCAACGTGTGTGGCAGGGTTATATTCTTTCCCCATACTTATTCAATCTGACTGCTGACAAATACTCTGAGAAGATGGATTATATGAAGAAGAATGTGGCATTAAGATTAGAGGAAGACTCATTAACAACTTGAGATATGCAGATGACACAACCTCGCATGCTGAAAGTGGAGAGGACTTAAAATACTTACTGAAAAAGATCAATGACCACAGCCTCAGTATGCATTGTGCCTCAGTGTAAAGAAATCAAAAGTCCTCACCACTGGACCAATAAATAACATGATACATGGAGAAAAGATTAAAGTGTCAAGTTTCATTTTGCTTGGGTCCACCATCAACACTTATGGAAGCAGCAGTCAAGAAATCAAACGACGTATTACGTTAGGCAAATCTGCTGCACAAGACCTTTTTAAAGTGTTTAAGAGTAAAGATTTCACTTTGAGGACTACAGTGTGCCTGATCCAAGTCATGGTATTTTCAATAACCTCATATGCATGTGAAAGTTGGACAATGAATAAGGGAGACCGTAGAAGAACTGGTGCATTTGAGTTATGGTGTTAGAGAAGAGTATTAAAAAGTACCATGGACTGCTATAAAAGCAAATAAATCTGTGTTGGAAAAAGTATAGCCAAATGCTCTTTAGAAGCTAAGACAGCCAGACTTCTTCTCTCAAACTTCAGACCTATCAGTAGTGACCAGTCTCTGAAGAAGGACATTATACTAAGTAAACTGGAGGGTCAGTGAAAAAAAGGAAGACCCCCCCAATGAGATGGACTGGCACAGTGGCAGCAGCAATGGGCTCAAGGGTAGTAATGACTGTGATGTTGGCATAGGACCGGGCAGTGTTTCATTCTGTTGTGGACAGGGTCGCTATGAGTTGGGAAGGACTTGACAACACCTAACAACAATGATTTGCAAATGGTTTTAGTCTGTGGATCTTTTCAAAGGCTGTTGTCACTAGAATGCTGACATCCCAAACAGAACAAAGGAGAGCAGTAGCTCAGAAGAGATTGAGGGGTGGGGAGTGGCTGGAGGCAGAAACCAGCGTGAACACTGTGAATTTAAGAGACTATTCTCCGGGTGAGAAGACATAAAAGTTGGGAACACAAATTAAGACAAGATGCTAAGTAGCCTTGAATGCCAAGTTAAGGAGCTCACTAAGAAGGACTTTTACAAAGTATAAATAAATAACATCCAAGTTGGATGTTATTTTAAGTAAGTATAGCAAAGGGGAAGGAGCTTAGGCTCTAGAGTCAGGATGCTTCTTAATTTGCTGAGCCTCGTATCTGTAAAATGACATCATCTAATCCATCCCATGGAGTCTCGGGGTGGCACTGTAGGATAAGCACTGGACTGCTAACTGCGAGTTCATCATTGGTTCAAGCCCACTCGATGGCATACAACGACAGTCCATCGCACGCACAGAGCTGTTGCGAAGATTTTAAGAGGTAAAGTTTGGTACCCAGCAGAGAGGAAAAGATTCCTGTTCTCTGATTTCCACATCACAGCCCTGAGGGCACAATGGGTTAAGCATTGGGCTGCTGACTGAGAGGTCGGTGGTTGAGACCCACCAGACGCTCTGTGGCAAAAGATGAGGCTCTGTGTGCCAGTAAAGATTGGCAGTTTTACAAACCCTAAGGACTAAGTCTACTTTGCTCTATGGGGAAGCTATGACTCAGAATCAATTTGATGGTAGTGGGGTTTTGGT